GACGAGGAGAAGAAACCCCGCCTTTTCTATCTCCGATGATCAGAAGGTGGGTGCCGCCTATTCCCTCCTCGGCCGAGTGCCGAGAACTGGTTGCCTCCATAACGAGGATTGTTGTATCCTCGACCGGCATTCGGATTAACTGGTGGCGGGCCCCAGCTACCACCACCACTCTTATTGCTATGGCCACCATAGCCGCCCCCATATGATCGGTCGGCTTCAGGATGATAACCATGCCCACCCGGCTGTTGAGGCTGATGATAATATGCACCCGGACGGACCGGAGGGTACGGCCTCTCGCGGATCGGCAGCGGAGGTGGCCCGTGCGGCCCCCGAGAGTGCTGCCCGTGCTGAGGTGGGTTCCTCACGTGAGCAGCTGACCTGTTGTAGAACTCATTGTACGGAGGAGGATTGTTGGGAACGTGTGGTGGTGGCGGAGGAGCGTAAGGAGGTCTACTACTGTTATGGTGAGGATAGGTTGGGGTTTGTGGGTAGGGGCGATTTTGGTAGGAATGGTAACGCGGGTCATGCCCAGCGGGATGAGATGGCATGTGATGTGGCAGATGGTGGGCAAGGGGGCTGTTTTTGTCTGACCTGGACTGTAAGCTGTTGACAACGAGGCGATGAGCAGCCTCCCCAAGCTGTCTGCCGGATATGGCCCCATTCGGGTAGTTGTGCCTGTTGGGCTCTGCCGAGTGTCGGGAGGGAATGGGTCCATTAGGGGGATTGTGCCTGTTGTGTTCTCCAAAGTGTCGGCTGGATGAGGGGCCATGCTGGTTATTATTATGCCTGTAGAGAGATTTCTCTTAAAGAAATGCGACTCAAATGGTAAATTATAAAGAATGTGTCTTCATTTACTCTGACAAATGATAAGTGTATTTGCGATTTTATGTAGGTCATTGTTACTCTTTCTGTAAGAAGAATGAACCGATGGGGTTCTTTAGGTACTGTGGGCATAACTGATAACTGTTGCATCACACAGTTATGTCACATTCATCTACCACTTGATATACTAAATTCGAACAAGTATTACCTTCCGTTGTCAAACGGCCTCCTTCCAGTATCCTCGTGCCAAAGTGTGGGCGCAGGTTTCAAATCGCCCATTGTCACAATCTACATGTAAAAATATTGAACAATTTAGATTACATAATAAATTGAGGTAAAACATTTGGAGGAAGTCCACGTGGGTTAGAAGATTGATTGCATAAAGAGGCTCAGTGAATTCAATTTTCCATCAGGTATTATGTATAGGCAAGTAGATGTAATGAAGATGCATTGGCTACAGCATGATTGGGGGCAGATAGGAACCGTTCAAACCCGAGACAAGATTTACCAAGAACAGCACTTCAAAGATCAGGCTCCTGAAAGTACATGTTTGATTGTTTCACTGCAGCAGCTGAGCCAAGGGATTATGACTTATACATACTACATGTACAATCCATAGGCCAGAACTGGTACAGATGTGCCAAATGAATTCATTTGCATGGGAGCAGACAGAGAAGGCTTCTTACAAGTTACATGAAGATATCCAACTTCTCAAATGGAATATAAAATAAAACAACTAACTAGGGAAGTACAAAATAAAAAAATAAAAATAAAAATCAATTAACAGTGGCGCCAAACAATTTCTACTAAATTCACCTTCTTTGGAAAAATGACACCAGGGAGCGGTCGAGGAATGTGCTCATGAGCATCTGGAAGTTTGTATATGGCACATCTGAATACACAAAAATTACCGGTCAAGGATGAGGGTGGAAACATATAAAACTGATTAGCTACAGATTATAATGATTCTCAATGTGTACAGATGTAATGTTGTGGAGCTTACAAGACTTGATTGTTCACAATGTCTTCCATCCCTGAAATAGGTGATCTGAAGACTGGAGGACAAGGATCCCCAGAACAAAGTGAGATATAGCCGTTCATTCCACCACTGCACATAGACCTAATTAACATCAGGAGAAGAGTCCAGAATGGATTTCAACATATGGATTTGAAACCCATTTCATAAAGTGTTGGAATATCACCTTCAGCTCATTTTTAACACTTCCACCATTGAATTTATAGCTCAACACTAATACGCCCACACGTCACACCCAAACACATGAAAGAGTAACTCATTTCTTATTCCAAATGAATTAAAGCATAAGTCAATTGTTCATTCAGAATATAAATGTGAACGAATATAAATGGATGATTAAAGAGCATCATTTAGGGAAAGACTGAAGTTTGAAAAGGAGAAGCGCAAGACATCGGAAAACATGCGAACACATCATAAAACATGTAAACATATCGAGCAAGTACAGGAAAGGAAAACATGTAAACATATAATCATTAATGGGTACTCACATTAGAAAACACGTAACATATCAGGCACACACAGGGATGGAGTAAGTGCAAGACTAAATGACTATAACCTCCAGAAACGTATATTTTCAACATCGACACCACTACTGAAGTTGGCTTTTTCATTTCAATCTGACCTTAGTTAACACTTTATACCTCCAAGAGCAGATAATATCCATCGCCCTTGAAATTTTTCATGACATGTAGATAACCAAGAGTCTATGGCAAAGGATGCTGGAAAGACCAACCTGGCAACTGGATCAATCTGCTCCTTGACCTGAACTCTTTCTTGATCTGTCATCTGCTTACAGCGATCATCAAGAGAAAAGATGTATGGGGACAGAGTGTGTGACACCGATACAAAAAGCATGTCAAACATCACGCTGTTTCTTCGTGCTTCATCTTCCTGCATTAAGGAAATCAGATAGTGGGTACAATTTTTACATATACCAAGCCAGATTTTATTTTAAAACCGAGTGAGATACTATACCGTAAGTGTGTGCTCTATCTTTGCTACCTCCGCTAGTAAACGTTCCTCATCAATGAAAGGCAATTTGGCAACACCCTAAAATCAAGAGAAACATCTTCGTACATATATCACGAAATCCTGTCGCAATTATATTCGTGTATCAAGACAAATTCAACTGTTCAAATTTAAACTATACCAACCTGCCAAGCAAACCGCTTGCCATTCATGTCTACTTCAAAATCTGATGAACCAAAGGAACGAAAGTGAGATAGAAAGAGCTTCTAGGGTCATTAATGAATATCATTAGCGGTCAAAAAGCATCTAATCATACCGATAGGATAAAAATCAATTATAGGTGAAGTTGGATCACTCATCAAGTACCTATACTGCTCAGGCAAAGCATGAGAACTGCAGATAACCCCATGTCAGAGAACAAAAAAGACATACGAGCACACAAAGCAAACAAGAAAAATCAAACCAACCTTGCAGCAGGGAAAACCCCCAGCAACTGATTGAATGGCTTGAATGGGGTCCCTAATTCAAACCCTATGTCCAGCCGTCCAAGATCCTTAAGGTCTGAAGCAAATGGTGCATAATGGTACGGATAAAACCTGTACGAGTGCGTGGTATGCTGTCAGGTCTATGTTATAAGCAAAGTTAATAATTTGAAAACGCATATTACAAAAGCAAATCGGCAGACTGATGCAATAATGTATGGACTTTGAGAAAAATGACCAAATATAATGAAGGAAAAAGATTTCTTCAGAATGTGACATTTAGAAATCCAAGTCATGCATTCAGATCATCAGCCTAAGTCTTAAAACATTAAGACAATTTACAGGTTGCAGGTTCGCTGCTGATGTTTGAAAATCAAAACCCACAGATATTGTTAATTAGAAACATATAGAGATTTAGGGGATATGCAAGTAGACCACATTTACAGATGTGGAGTAAAGAAATAGGAAGACAGCCGCATTGCCATAAGACAAAATTGAAATATAACATTTTCTTCTGTCACTAGATAAAACTGAAAATGCGTGTTAAGGGATAAGGAACACTTTTAGCGGCAAAATAACAACTGCAGTCAACGACTAAGTTGTTTCAGGTTATTCATCTCCCTAAAGAGGATACAAAAAGGCACTGAAACTGAATGAGCTTTAGCAGCGATAAATAAAATAAATGAACATTCACTAAAAAATATAAGATGCTTATAGAATAATAGTTACTAATTAGCCATACAAGGAAAAACCAAAAGGGAACCAAGCACTCGAGAAAACAGTAAGTTAACTCTTTGTTAATATTCTCAATAGAAATTAAGCAGTAATCAAGCTCAAAAGTGAAACTTTCCATTGCCAGGAACAGACTCCTTCATAGTAGTAGTGCATAACCCAACATAACCCTTCAGTGTATTTCAACACCTGCAAGAAATTATAGCAAACTTATCAAATTCTCAAAGTAAGATATTCCAAGCAGGAGGCAAAGTAGACATACGAGCAATATATCCTTATGTTAAAGATTTAAAAAAAAAAAACTTTTACTTGGCCAAACTATGGTTTTCTAGGCTATTGAATCTATATATGCTACTTTCTGCTTTTTTTTATCTTTTTTCCAGTGAACAAGCCAGGTTTTACATTTTCACTCTGAAGCCTATCCACCCAGCATATTTCAACTCTTGCACTTTACCATCTATAATTTGCCTATTTTCGTGATCTTATGTATCACATGTTCAAAACAGTAACAACTAATTAACACCTACAACAACAACAACAACTACATACCCAGTATATTCCCAAACGGGTTGAGGAACAACTAATTAATATCTATTTTCATGAAAAAGAAAGGAGTTTTTTATTTTTAGTTACAAGCATTTACATGCATGATAGTTCTGAAAATTCAGCCAATGGTAAGCTCCCTGAAGTACTTAGAACTCGCAAAGTTTGTATGGCGTTATGTTTAAAAAAAAATATTAGGTGGTAAAAGTTAAAAGCAGGCACTGGTTTGGCGGGAAATAGATTTCCTCTTCGCAGTTATTTGTAAGATGATACATAAACTGTCTCTCATGCATGTCCATGTGAGTGTATCTTATATCAAATTTTATGGCAATTGCTTCATAACTTCTCAATTTTTTCTGTTGATGTGACATGATATAGAACGTTTTATAGTGAGCACTACTTTTCCATCAAAAGAATCAAAGTTGAACAACTTACCACATCCCTTCGAACTGCGTCAAGTTCCTCAGGAGATTTTGCAGAAAACTTATCTTCGTAGTACCTCTCTTTCCACCCAGGTTCTCCCAGTTTTACCTAGAAAAATTAAGTCAGAATTGAAAGCTAAAATCAACCACGGCAACAAGGAACCAACATTGTCAAAACCATTCATCCAAGGCAGACATATGTTTTTAACTTTTTAATAGTACAAACAAGTAAAAGGATTCAATAGCCTTCATTTGTGGTTCTTCTGATCATGTAACAAATCCGTTCTATTAATATAAAATAATAAAGTAACATAATAGAAGCCAAAAAAAAAAAAAAAAAAAAA